CCCCCCTTCTTGCCTGACAATGCTGCAGAGTCTGACCACCCAAAGTGTGCTCATTGACCATCGGCAGATAAGACCACATGTTGCCACTGTGGTCCTTTCCCCTTCATCACCTGAACACCAGCGCATGTACTTCCTCCCTTGGTGCAGCTACGGCTGTGACCAAGCATGCGCAGCTGACAGTGGCTGCCTCTTCCTCCTCCTTCGTCAATGCTCAGCATCCTGGCCGCTCGCTCTTGCTCAATGCTGGCACAGGCAGCCAGTACCTCCAAATGTGTGGAATGCTGCGGGTGTGGTCTCTCTTCCTTTATCTCTTCCTGGAGGTCGCCTGCGACAGCCTGGCTGTTACTGGGCACGGCCAGCCCGCGAACCTTCTGCTAGAAGCTTCCAGACTGGGTACATGGGCCTCAGCCTCTTCAACTAACTGGGAGGCTCGACCTACGGGTTAGTTGGAGAGGCTGCGTCCAGAATTCTCCCAACTGCCCCACACCAGCCTCCCTTGAGGCCTCGCAAACACTTTTCCTGCCTGCCCTTTTTTTTTTTTTTGAAAGAACAGGGCCTTAAGGCCTTGACTCCATATCCATTATGGGGAGCGTCAGTCCGGTTCCTATTCAGCAAGTCAAATAATTTACATTAGATACACAGTATTACACACTCAACTATCCACACTTTGTTCTGTTTTTTTTTGTTTTGCAAATAAATGAACAACCAGTACACACGATCGTACATTTGTACTACATTCTGCAAATAAAATAACCAGTGCATAAAGGTAAGCATCGAGCTGTGTGGAACAAGGGGCCCTTTCAGACATCACGTTGTTCTGGGCTAAGGCCCCCAGCAAGCCAAGTGCCCGCCCTAAGTGAAGGTGGGCCTGAATATTCGTCAAAGGCACAATTCGACATTTCCATATGTGGGTATTCAGGCTCTCGCAGCACGCCAGTTGGTTGGGAAGACGCGAGCCTCACATTGCTGCGTCATACAGTTGGCCCAGGCCTTGACAGTTGCGCCTGGGCACACATACACAAAGCAGGGCCGATACATTGGGAAGCAGGCCTTCGGCCTTTGCAAAAGCAGTAGTGCCGACGCACCTGCCTGGGAGCACTGCACAGATGCAGCAAACAGCCCAAGTCCGGAGACTCAGGCCGTGCCTAACTGCAAAGGGCCCAGGCCCTCAACTGTAGTCTCAGGCCTGGGCGCAGGGTCTGGGACCCAACCGGAAGCTACTGGAAGCTTCCAGCCAGGCCACACTCAGCATCCAGGAGGCTGCCACTTCCACAAAAGGAATGAGGCAGCCCAGGCGAGGCATTCTGGCCAGTGCTGGCAATGCGGAAGTGCTGCTGTGCTCTCGCTTGATGCTGCACTGCTGCCAAGGGCGCTGACGGGGCGCGAGAGGTGTAGTGGGGCGCTGCAGGGCAGCGGGGCGCAGGCAGCCATAGCTGGGCTGCTGGGCGCTAGGGGGTACAGCGGATGATCAGGTGGTCTTCAGGGAAGGAGGCGGTGTGTGGGGTAATCAAGGTCTGATTGAGGGTGACGAGATACGTACCTGGTACATGAAGAGAGGTCGGCGATGGTGTTGGCACTCATGTACATTGGTCTTCGTGTGTCGAAGTGATCCTGTTGCGTGAACCAGCTGTAGGTAGGATAGTCGGGTAGAGCAGGCTGGCGCTCAGTTGGTGTGGCCTACGGGCTTGAACATTGGCTCATTAGTCCATCGTATTGCTCTATATGGATGGTTTTCTTGGTGCATTTGTACTCACTGCTTGGGACACGACTACTTGGACAGCTGTGTGATTTCGCAATTTGGTTTTATGTATGTCGCTCGCACTCATATTCCTTGCAATTTGGTATCGGAGCTGGTTGGTGATCGCCGCTTACCTGGCACCGGCGACCTTGTGACTTGGTGCGCTGACGATGCTTCATGTGCAGTAAGGATACTTTGGCGCTGGTTGATTAGCGGGGCCTAGGTGGAGAGGCCGGCCGCTGGAAGGCTGTGGCGACAGCGTGGGAGCTGTGGCGACAGCGGGTGTATGCATGATAATGAGAGTATGCTGACATGGCATTTTGGCTGAGTTGGCACTGCATTGCGTTGTGGGTGGTACCGAGGCTAATGACCGGTCATCGAAATGCACGTCGGCCCAATTGGTGACTGTACATCACTGTAGTTTTTTTAGTTAAACGCCTAACAGACAGCCTAGAGTAGGACTGTAATCTACTGTAGTCAGTTCTTCTTAAAGCTTCTGTGCAGAACTAATGAAAGATAGAGGTAGACTACATGTGTACAGTTTGTGTAGGTGCTGTTGATGCCGCTTGACTAGTAGTCTAGGGTAACTCGCCGGCCTATCATTTTCTTTAGTTTTAGAACCGGACAGACGTATGCTGCGGTAGGTCCCAAAGAGGACATTAGTGCAGACAGCGTCTGCCTAGCCCATGAGCGGATCAGAGGGTGGGGAGGATAGATCTGACGATAGGAGGCAGACACGACGGGATACCGGTAGGATACCCGTTGTGTTCCAGGTTCTACTACCAGGAGACGAGAGAAGGCTTAGGGCCGAGACAAGGGCCCGCAATCTAGAGACTGCGAGACAGGCAGCAGCAGTGGCTGAACGTGCGTTAGCAGCAGCAGCAGCTAGTGCGGTAGCAATGGCTACCTCTTCATCCACTTCTGCTGCAAACTCAACTGGTCAGAGTCTGGGTATGCCACCCAACACGACCAGTTCACAGTCCATCTCCAGTACGTCAAGAACTGGCACTAGTCAGATGGCAGGTTCGCAGTTCAGCTCGCCACATCCACGCACCCGGGAGCAGATGGAGCTCCAACAAGTAGAGAGGATTCGCTTAAGGCTAGAGGAGGAACTCAGACAGGCTACTAAAAGAGAGAAAGAGATTAGAGATAGGAGTGTCAGACTAGAGGGTAGGGAGGCAGACAAGGCTGCGCTAGAGGGGTTAGATGACTCGACCCTTAGCAATAACGAAAAGATTCTGAAGGCGAGCATCATGTCCATGCACGCATATATGGACAGTAAACTGGATACAATCCAAGACACCTTAGACCAGATCGTGAATGTCATGCATAGGCCAGGAATCAGGCCAGCAGTCTTGCCATCGCCGCCATTCTCAGCGACGACATACCCCTATGCCGCTCAATCCGGACCACCTCCAAGTGGTACATCAGCAGCAGCCCTATCTCAGACTGTTGCTTCTTCATCTTCTGGTCCAGCGACTGGTGCTACACCACAATCGCCACTTGTCTCGCCTGCGGGACAACAATTTCCTTGGTATCCCAAGACCCCCCTGAAACCACCTCCCACCTTCTCAGGAGATGAGAAGGACGAGGCTCTCGACACGTGGTTGATAACGGTGCCAGTGTGGGTGAGGGCAAAGAGGACATTGGTAGAGGAGGAAGTGATTACTGCTGCATCCTACTTAGAGGGGTCAGCAACTCGCTGGCTAAATGGAGTGGTAGCTTCAAAGGGGTTCGGCAGGAACATGGGTGATTGGGCACAGACCCACACCCTAGAAAGCTTTATGGACTTAGTGGAAGCACGGTGGCACAATCCTCAGCAGGCACAGATTGCCACTGATGGATTATTAAAGCTTAATGCTAGGAAGTACAAGTCAGTGCGAGAGCTTACCACAATCGTAAAGCGCCTGATCGTTGTCTCAGGAGTGGAGTACAATCCACAGGTCTTGTTGACCACGTTCTTGAGATGTCTTCCCACAAACATCAAGAACTTATTGGCCAGTGAGGCTCGTAGAGAGTATCAAACCTTTGAGACATTCAGCAAGAAGGCCCTGGACTTAGAGGCTACACTGGGTAGTGCTCAAACCCTTTCTACGGACGGGAGAAAGAAGAAGACTCCACAGGAATGGAAGAAGAAGGGTAGTCGATTGATGATGGTTGATTCCGAAGGGAATCAAACTGAAATCGACGAAGTTTCTGAACTTATGGAGAGTGCAGAGTTAGACGGCGAGGAGAGTGCTAAGGGTAGCAACCTCGCCGCAGTATTTAAGACTAAGGCAGCAGACCGCGGCAAGGGCGGTCAGCAAAGGAGTCAGGGGCAGGCCGCCAACCCAAACAAAATAGCAGCTTGGGTTAGGGCAGGCCTGGATCAAGAAGTGTGGCGGGGCCGTTGGTCGGGAGGTGCTTACATAAACTGTGGCGAGTACGTCCATATGCAATTTAAATGCAAGAACCTGAAGGTCTCGCAGAAGATCCCTCCTAAGGGTGGGTTTCCTTCTTCTTAGTCTGGGGCCTCTACGAGCTCCAGCTCGGGAAACACTTAGGGTCGGTAGAAGATGTAGCTGCTTCTACTCTCGTTGAAGCGGGTGATGTACCCTCCCCGTTTCAAGAGTTGGTCGAAGCTATTGACTCCTTAGTCACCCCGCAGACGCATCCGAACCCAACTATACTTTGTACGTTGGATGTGTTTGAAGCCTTAGAGGACCTTCAAGGTGAGTGGTCGGCAAGGGACCCTCGTGAGTCCTGGGTGGCACTGAGGTCCTAAAGGGGAGCACTTCGTTGTGGAAGTTGGTGTGGGTGGTCGCAAGTGCGGCGCCTTCGTAAACATTTGCTCCACGCGAAACTTCATAAGTCGCGACTGCGTTGACAGACTGTGCCTAAAGGACCGGGTGCAGCGCCTTAGTAGACCGATAGCATCTACTTTGGCCAACAACGAGCGCATGATGGTGGAGGACTACGTTAAAGATGTAGTCTGCACCTTCTCCTACCCAGGAGGAGAGAGAAATCATAAAATAGCATTCCTAGTGAGCGACGAGTTGCCCTTCGACATGTTATTGGGCATGTACTACCTCGAGGTTGCCAAACCCCAGTTCGACTGGGACAAGAAGGTGTTAAAGCACGAGTTGCCTAATGGGAGGGCCGTTAGACTGGCCAAGTATACAGCCAGTAGGTTAATAAACTCCTATGGGTGCTTATGCGCATCTGTCTTCTATAACTATTATAAACAGAACCAAGAGGAAGGAATGCACTTAGGCTATGTCTCTGCAAAAGGGGAGGCCGTTAAAACACCCCCAGAGATAGAGACCATCGTCACTAAGTACCCTGATCTGTTCGAGGAACCCTCAGGAGTCGTAGACAGGGAGGTTGTCCATGCCATAGAGATCATCCCAGGTAGCAAGACACCTAAAGGGAGAATCTATAGGATGGCTCCGACCGAGTTGGACGAGCTTTGTCGGCAACTCAAAGAGCTCACAGAAAAGGGTTGGATACGGCCTAGCACATCCCCCTTTGGCTCACCAGCTTTGTTTGTTCCAAAGAAAGGGGGAACACTAAGAATGTGCATTGATTATAGAGGGCTCAATGCCATCACCGTTAAGAACGCAGAGCCTCTACCACGCATCGACGACCTATTGGATAGGGTGCAGGGATGCAAGTACTATACAAAGATGGATTTAAAATCCGGCTACCATCAGATTGCCATAAGACCAGAGGACCAACACAAAACCGCATTTCAGACCAGGTACGGTCTGTACGAGTTTGTGGTGATGCTCTTTGGCCTTTGCAATGCGCCGGGTACATTCCGGCACACCATGAATAGTATCTTCCATGACTACTTAGATAAGTTCGTTGTCGTGTACCTCGACGATATACTTATCTTTAGTAGAATTGTCCAGGAGCATGCTCAGCATGTAGACAAAGTACTTTCACTCCTCCGGCAGCACAAGTATAAGATAAATGCAGAGAAATGCGAGTTCGGTCACACTCGAATCTTGTACTTGGGTCATGAAGTATCTGTGGACGGGATTAGGCCCGAAGATGCGAAGGTGGCTAGCATTAGGGATTCGCCACGACCCCAGTCTGTGACTGAGGTCAGATCATTCTTGGGAATGTGTGGTTATTACCCCAACTTCGTAAAGAACTATAGCACAATCGCATCTCCATTGACTGATCTAACTCGACTTGACACACCATGGGACTGGACCGACGAGTGTGAGGCAGCTTTCAAGCGTTTGAAGCACGCTCTCACGCACCATGAGGTTCTCATGGTACCCGACCCGCAAAGGCCATTTGTTGTAACCACTGACGCAAGCCAATATGGCATTGGCGCAGTGCTGGCTCAGCAGGAAGGGAAAAAGTTGAGACCGGTCGAGTACATGAGCAAAAAGATGTCATCAAAGAAGTTGGCAAAGTCCACCTACGAAGAGGGAACTCTGCACTCTCTACAAGGCACTTGTCCACTGGAGGCACTATCTGTTAGGAAGGTTCTTCTATTTGAGAACTGAACATCAAACCCTCAAGTGGATCAAGACACAACCGGTTCTCTCCGATGCACTCAAACGTTGGATTGAAGTCATAGATTAGTATGACTTCAAACTAGACTATGTGAAGGGAGAGTACAACAAGGTTGCAAATGCGTTATCTAGAAGGGTAGATTACTTGGGTGCGCTGATTTCTGAGTTTGGCCTATCTGAGGACGTGACTCGATCTTTGGAGGAAGCCTACAAGGAAGATCCCATCACGATGGACATCATCAACAAACTACAGGCCAAAGACAAGGCCACCACTGACGAGTTTGTGACGGTGGATGGATTACTCTTTCTTGAAAAGGGAGGGTACAAAAGGTTAGTTGTTCCATCTAGGGAGATTTTGCGTAATTTATTTTTAGGTGAGTGCCACGACGCAACGGGACATTTCAGCTATAAGAAGACTAGTGCTAACTTAGTACACTGATTTTGGTGGCCTAACATGCTCGACGATGCAAAGAAGTATGCACAGACCTGTCAAGTCTGTCAGCGGAACAAGCCGCGGACTCAAGCTCCGCTTGGGTTACTCAAGCCTCTACCCATTCCTGCTGGCCCGGGGCAGAGTATCTCCATGGACTTCATGGATACTCTCGTGACCAGCAAGAATGGCAAGAGGCACATCTTCGTCATAGTTGATAGGTTCACTAAGTATGCTAGACTAATTGTCATGCCGGAGACTGCCAGGACTGAACATGTCATCAAGTTATTCATGGATAACTGGGTGCGTGATTTTGGACTGCCAAAGACAATCGTTAGTGATAGAGATGTGCGATTCACAAGCGAGATGTGGAAGAAGGCCGCTGAACAGATGGGCAACCAGCTGCAGATGACTTTTGGGAATCCTTCCGAAGCAAATGGGCAGGCTGAACAGATGAACCGAGTGGTGCAACATCTGCTGAGGCATTACATTAAGCCCATGCTTTTCACTGTTTTGAACCATTGAACAAGGAAAAGGGCATAATTTTGTGTGCTTATCACAGTCAGGATTCCAAGATTGCTCAGGACAGAATGTACCTCAACATATTATGCTCTGCTCTGTTCATGATATGTCCTAGGACGTGGTTGGGCAATACCATTCTTCTGACAGGAGTCGCATTGGGATTCCGGTCATGAATAACATGAATGGGTTTTTGTACTGCTGCTTTTTGGATGAAAAATGTCACAAGTGTCATGTGCTTCACATTTCCCATGCCATCTCATGTGAAGTGTTCATCCCTTAGAAACCTTCGATATCTTAAGCTTCCAACTCAAAACGTAGGACCATCATAACTTGCCACAGAGAGAGAGAGAGAGAGAGAGAGAGAGAGAGAGAGAGAGAGAGAGAGAGAGAGAGAGAGAGAGAGAGGAAGCTGGAACACAAGTAGATGTCCATAGTGATGCATCCAGTCACGACGATTCGTCGAGGCAAGGTGCCAGAAGATATTTGATTAATGCCTTCAGTCTACCGACTCTGTAGTGCTCAAAGCTTTTCCTTTTATGACTCACACACACACACACACACACACACACACACACACACACACACAC